GGCCGCGTCTAGTGGCGGCTGCGAGCCCCAACTCGCAACCCCCGCGACCCCGTTTCTACCCCTCGGAGGCCGGCAGCTCACGGCCGCACCAGGCCACCGAGGGTGCCGCTCCGTGCGCCGGACCCGGACAGGAGGCAATGCCACCCCATCCGGTCCGACCCTGCGCCGCCTGGCGGGAGGGGGCTCCTATCAGGACCCCCCTCCCAGCCTGGGTCATGCGCCACGCCGAGGGGGCCGCCCGCGTCGCCTGACGCCCAGGCGACGCTCTCTCGCCACCAAACGAGCGCGAGCCTCAGCGCGCCGCTGACGCTCGCGCTCCCTTCCCGCGGTCTCCTTCTGCAACATTACGATTTCGCAGAAGGAGGCCACGGCCCTCCACTTCTCCTCGCTGCCGTGCATGGCGCGCACCATGCCCGGCAGCGAGACATCACGCCCGATGACGCCGATCAGGACACGGCGTTCACCCTCCCATGCAGCGCATACCTCGAGGGTATGTTCCGCCGTGTCCTGCTCAGCGTCACAATGGCAGCAACGCGCCGTCGGCTCCTTCCCTATCCGGCACAGGTATCTCCCGAAGCTGCCATGCCCCGAGAACACCTGTGCCATCCTGTAAGTGAGGCTTCCATGGCCTCTGTCCAGCCACTCACATAGGAGTGGCCGAACAGCCCCGACTGTCCGGTGCCCCGCGGTAGGCAGAGCCAACCGCTCTTGCCACGCGTGCACCACGGACTGCCGGGCCTGGCGCTTCAACTCGCCCCAAGCAGGTTCCTGCACACCCGGGACCGCCCCCACCCCCGCGCGACGGTCGACGCGGTGACGATACATCATCGCGTGCGACCGCGCGAGGAGATCCATGGGCGGCATCCCCGCAAGAACCGTCGCCGCCTCATGCGACACGGTCCGGTACCCGCGGACGACCCTTAGAGCCATCCGCCTCTGCACCCGACGCAGCATAGTCATGCCGCGCCGGGAGGCCGCCAGGTCGTCCGCCCAGACGGGGGCCCCGTATAGGACCACCGACTGAACCATTGCCACATAGAGGCGGCGAACTCGGCCCGCCGGGCCCCCCAGGTTGGGCAGAATCCGGCCCAAAGCCCCGACCATCCTCTCCAGCCGGGGGACCAGGCAGCGGAAATGCTCCTCGAAGCGCCAGTGGCTATCGAGGATCAGCCCCAGATACCTCATCTGGGGCTTCACCTCGATATTAGCCTCACCCACGCGGATCAGAGGGGGTGGCGGATCCTGCCGAGGTGAATGGAACGCTATCACCTCGGTCTTATGGACCGCCACCGTCATCCCCATCCCTCTGATCCGGTCGACGACGCGTTGCGCCCCCTCCTCCGCGAGACGCTTGGCCCTCCCCCAGTGCGCCCCGACGGCCAGCACCAGTGTGTCATCTGCATAACACACGGCGCTGACGCCGTCGGGGAGGTCGGCCCGCAACACTGCGTCGTACGCGATGTTCCACAGGAGTGGCCCGAGGACCGACCCCTGCGGAACACCGCAGTACACCTCCCTCCGCATATGCCCATCCCGGCTCGGATACTCGATCCACCTGCCGCGGAGATAATCCCCGATGACCGCCCCGAGACAAGGGGGGGACCCGATGATATTCGAGCCCCCTCCTTATCTCCTCCCAGGGCAGGGTGTTAAAGGCGTTGGCAATATCCAAGGATATTGCCAAAGCCACCCCTCCCCGGGAGACGGCCGACTCCGAGAGGGCCCTGACACGACCTATCGCGTCGATGGTCGATCGACCCTCCCGGAAACCGTACTGGCAGTCGGCCAGGCCGGGGGCACCCCGCGACAGGTGCTCGACGAGGCGGGCAGCAATCACCCGCTCGAAGAGCTTGCCCACCTCGTCGAGGAGACAGATGGGCCGGTATGCGGAGGGAGACTCCGCGGGCCGACCCTCCTTCCGGAGGAGGACCATCCTCGCCACCTTCCAACTGGGGGGGAATCGCCCGTCCCTCAGGCATCGGTCGAACAACCGCCTGAGGTCGGCCCCAAGGACGCCCTGGGTCAAGACCCAAACCCGGCCGGGCACACCATCCGGACCCGGGGCCGTGTTACGCGCCCCGAGCCGTCTGATGGCCGCGGCCAGCTCCCCCTGAGTGACCCCCAGTTCGGCCGCCCACTCCCTAGGGACTGCCGCCTCCACCGGAGGACGTGGTCCCCTCACCCGAATTGGGAAAAGAGTATTGACCACGTCCTCCAGCAGCCGGGGGTCAAGACCCTCGGTGACGGGGGGCGCCCACGGGCGGAGCTTCTTCAGCACCACCCTGTACGGGCGCCCCCAAGGATCGTCATCGAGGGTCTGGAGGAGATCCTTCCATGCCCGGGTCTTGGCCCGTTTGATGGCGACCTGCAGAGCAACCCGCGCCATCCGGTATGCCTCATACAGGTCATCTGCCCTCGCTCGCGCCACGCCATCGTCCGGTCGTAGACGACGGCGCGCGCGGGCGTACTGGCGTCGGGCGCGGGCACTCGCTACCCGCAATTCCGCGATCGGTTCCGCGAGGCTTGGTCGTTCCTCTCGCCGGCTTGAGGTAGGCCAGGATTAGTGTAATCAGAAAAACACGGCTATGTGTTAGCCACACGTAAACACGTAATACGTATACGCCGCGTCTGTGTTCTCGCGCTCCCGGCGTCGATATTCGAACGAACGGGAGCAGAGAAATTTCGCTTGTTCCTATTATACGAACTCGAAAGTGGACTGTAAATTTTCCGGCGTAAAAAGAAATCAAACTTCTGTTCTTTACCGATTTTTGTCGATTGCCTAGTGGACAGGGGCGCAAGTGGAGGTTGTAAGGCTCCTAATGCACTGATCCCGTGAGTATGCCCACTGAGTCTGTGCGTCGAGTCGCACTGCAGTGCAACGGCACGACCGTCAATCTGCAGCTTCTCTTTATACGTTCCAACAGATGACCTATTGGCCGAGAGTTGCACTGCGAAGCCCGACAGCACGTTGTTCACTGCGCGAATGCACTACTCGCTGTGATTCGCAGCAGTATTTGAACTACGTGGGGGCCTGACCCACGACTCCGTTACCTCTCTGCACAGGTGCTCCTCTAAGCGTTACACCGACGGGATCTGTAGAAGTAAGGAGGCGAAGACCGAAAGTCAGACGTCCTAAGTGGACGTCGACCTGACTACAGTGAGCCCACCTGGAGGTACACCACGTAGGTGCCTCCCTTCGGTGTCTCCTCAGCCGAATGGCAGTCACAAAGAAGTGTAGACGGATACCGTCTACACTTCTTTGTGTTTCTAGCGTTTATACGTTAGAAACGACCGTTCAATTCTGCACCGGGATGGTCGAGCACCTTGAAGGTGTATTCTCGAGCCCCCAGAATTGCAGAATTTGCAGCTAACTCAGGTTATGAGTGCACTTGTGCGAACCGGAATACGGTTCACGTAATAAGTAAAAAATGGGAATAAATTCCACACTTTGTCGAGTCTTATAAATTCGCAGCTGTGCGTGGGCAATCGATTAACGCACGACAAACTGAACGACTGCTCGATACACTCTTTTTCAAGGTAGTCTATATTCGTAATTCGAAAGAGTATTTTCTTTCGAATTGTATTCGAGTTCTGGACGGACACGATCGGGAGCCGATGTGTTCAGGGCAGAAGTCGGTTTTAGACTGTGACGATTGACAGCGGAAGACGTCGCCGTGGTACGCTAATTAGTCGTCCCGTGGCGCTGTCTAAATTTCGGCCGTCTATCTTTGTCAGATTATCAACGCGCTACTCTCTCACGGTACTGACGTCACCAACACCGTTAGCACACTCGAATCGAAGGTAATGAGCCGTTACCGATGCCAGAAAAACCAATAATACACGCGTTTTTCTATCACTGCTCGCTGTACAAATTCAATTAGAGATAATCTCTTTGTTATTGTACGCTAACAGGATTAACGGTAATTGCGACCGAGGATAATCGCTCGGCATTATGCAATCTTTAAACAATAATTCTAATTATCCTTTTTCTATAAAAATTTCATATTTATAGATTAAATTAAATAAATTTGTATAACTATATTTAAATATAAATAAAGAAAAAAATATTGATATAATAAAATTTAAAAAATTTTTATATTTATATATATTATTATTGAATGTTATTAATCCAATTCAAAATCCATATATATAAAAATTTAAAATTATTAATTTATCTGATATATGTATATTAAATAAATAAGATTTATAAATTAAATTAAATACATTATATCTAAAGATAAAATTAAAAATTAATAACATGTTACGAGCCAGGGCCGTGCAGCGCGCGTGGCCTACGAGTGCGAACGAGAGTATGGAATATGGTATCAATTCCTTAATTAGGTGTACGGACGAACCTGATGCGAAATCGGGGAGCTGCTAGGAGGTTGGAACAAACGCAGACGAACTCGATGCGTAATCGAGGAGCTGCTGGGAGGTTGGATAAGTCACAGACGTACCTGATGCAAAATCAGGGAGCTGTAGGATACGGACGAACCTGATGCGAAATCAGGGAGCCGCTAGGATGGTAATAAATTACGTGGACGAACTCGATGCGTAATCGAGGAGCCACTAGGTTGTTAGAATTTGTATTTGGATTCGGGATATGTTAATTGACCTCGTAACTTTAAATTATTAAATATGTCGGAATCCATTAAACAGTTGTTGTTGTTCTAATTGAATGTTACTTCAGTTTGTGGTAATAAAATTTTATTGCCCCTTATCGATTCTTAAATTTTATCGATGCAAATAATGTCATCGGAAACGCAAACGTACGTCAGGTTGGCGTTGACGTTTGAATGTAGCCTTTGAAGGTAGCCGAGTTGGTTGTCTGGTTACCGAAACTTTTATAAAAAGGGTGATCAGAAGGAAAGGTTGTGCGAGAAAATCTAAATAGAAATCCTTGCGAAGGACTCATTAGTTTACGTTGAGCATTCTTTCGTTTCGTTTAAGTGTTTGAATTAATTATTAGTTAAAGTTTATTCAGCTCGAAGTTTAGAAAAATGCATATGATAACAAGACAAAGGCTTGGTCGCCCGAGAGGACCAAATGCTAACCGCCCTAGGGAAGTGGTTCATGATTCCGCTTCTCCGACATCAGAAGTGAGATATCCTCGGCTACAAAGCGAGTCAGATGCAAATTGCGAACATCAGCCGCATGAAAATGTGCCCATTCAAGACAGCGCGTATACGATGCCGCAGTCGGGTGAGGTTTTGCTTCGAACACTTCTGGAAGCCCACAACCAGAATTTAAAAAGTCTAATTGATGGAATTAAATCCTCTTCAAGTAAGGGATATGTTTGTTTGCCTATTTTCGACCCTGAGAAGCCTGATGCCGATCCGCGAGCATGGTGTGCTACCGTGGAGCTGTGCTTAACCGATCAGGACTTGCAAGGCGGAGCCCTGGTCATGGTAATTATTCGTGCTTTGAAGGGGAGTGCATCATGGTTGTCCCAAGTTTTGTTTGCGGGAATGACATGGCCACAATTTAAACAACAGTTTTTGGTTCATTACGTCTAGCTGCATATGCAGCGCGGCTTATGGCCATGCTCACCTTGCGATGGCAGAGTTTCTCTACAGAGCAGATTGCTGTAGCAATGGTTCTGGCGCACACGGCTCAATTTGATAGACGACTCCAGAGATTAGCCTTTACCACAGAAATCAATTCAAGGGACAAGCTACACCGTGAGCTACAGGCATTTTCATTTCTGAAGAGGAAGGCGACAGTAGCTTTGCCGTCATTTACCAAGGATGCTCCAGCGGACAATAAGCGTTTCAAATCGTTTCCACCTTCAAAAAACACTTGTTACTTTTGCGGAAAGCCGGGTCATCGGATTAAGGATTGTCACTTCATGAGGGATGCGAAGAGGACCTCAAACGTCATTTCTTCAATAGCGACTTCGGGGGAATTGCGCTCTTCTCCGAGCTTAATATGTTTCCGCTGAGGTGCAACTGGTCACTATGCTTCCAAGTGTCACCAAGTAGCTGGCAAGGGTAGCGGCGGTGCTAGCAGCAGCAGAGATTTTAACAATGCAGTTACGTCAAATACGGTTCAGCGACGGGTTGATGTTTGTCAGATAGGTAACCCTAGTGGAAAACTGGTCTGCAATGGTGAGTCGTTTCTTTTCCATTATGACTCTGGTGCCGAATGCTCTCTCATTAAAGAAAATGTTGCTTCAAAATTTTCTGGTAAGCGATTTTATGAACATGTAATGTTACGGGTATAGGGCAGACGTCGATTTTTAGTACTGTTCAAATTTTGTCGAAGGTCCAAATTGATTATTTACATTTACAAAAACTTTTCCATCTAGTCCCCGATAATTTCTTAAAAAATGACATTTTGGTTGGCCGCGAAACTTTAAATCAAGGTTTTAGTGTAAGCATGACCTCTAATAAAATAGTTCTTACACGACATAAGGAAATGAAGGAAATCAACGTATGCGAGGTAAAAGATTCAGACAATAATGAAACCAAATTTAATTACATTGACACCGACATTCGCGATGGGTACTGGTCTCGGTTAAATGAAATATTAGAACAGTATTCCGATTCTTTTCCCAAGGGAATAGCTAAATCTCGTGTTAGCTCGGGACAGTTAGAGATCCGACTTATTGATCCTTGCAGAATTGTTCAGCGCCGACCATATACGTTGAGTCCTGAGGAGAAGGAAGTAGTTCGAGAAAAATGGTTCTGATCGAATGTGTGTGGATTCACTGTGTGAACTCAATAGTAATACTATTGCTGACCGGTACCCTCTTCCATTAATCTCAGATCAGATAGCTAGATTAGGAGGTGCTCGGTGGTACTCCAGTTTTGATATGTTGAGCGATTATCACCAGATCCCTGAGGAAGCCAATTCTATTGAGAAAACGGCCTTCGTTACTCCTGAAGGTCAATGGGAATATTTGACCATGCCATTTGGGTTAAAGAATGCTAGTTCGGTCTACCAGCGAGCTATTGTAAAAGCCCTCAGAGATATGGCATTTAGCTTCGTTTTATGATATATCGATGACGTCTTGGTGTTGTCCACTACTTTAGAAGAAGGTCTAGTGCGTATCCGTATGGTATTGGGTGTGTTGACAAAGGCTGGTTTTTCTTTAAATCTCGCTAAATGTTCTTTCCTTAAGAAACGTATCGAATTTTTAGGTTATGTGGTTGAGAATGGGGAAATGTATCCAAATCCTCGCAAAAGAGAAGCCCTAACAAAATTACCTACACCTAAGACAGTCTCTCAACTTAGGCAGTTTATTGGGCTGGCTTCATCACTAGCTGCAAAAATAATACTCTCGTTTGACAACCAATATTTGAGGAAATACGACAAAAAATAATTGCGCGTTTAACAAGCGAACCGGTGTTAGAAATTTTTAACCCAGACCTTCCGATAGAATTGCATACTGATGCAAGCTCGGATGGGTTTGGTGCGATGCTGATTCAAAAAGTGGATGGTAAACAACGCGTGGTCGAGTACTTTAGTCGTCGTACTTCCTCAGCCGAATCGAAATATCATTCGTATGAATTGGAATCCTTGGCTGTGGTCTATGCAGTGAAGCATTTTCGACATTATCTTTATGGTCGAAATTTGTGGTTATCATTGATTGTACCTCGGTCAAGGCCTCCAAGAATACAAGAGATTTGTCTCCACGTGTGCACCGTTGGTGGGCTTACTTGCAGTCCTTTAATTTTGATATCACTTATCGTGAGGGTAGCCGCATGAATCATGTAGGTATTCTGTCAAGAAGCCCTCTTCCCATTGAGTCCCAAAATTTTAATTATCGCGTCGAACAAAGACGTGTTGATCTGGCTAAATTATCAAAGGAATGGTTACAGGTAGAGCAGGAAAAGGACGAAGAAATATCTATGATTGTGTCTGATATACGAAATGAAATGTTACCGGATGAAATTCGAAAAACCTATGAGTTTCGTTCTAATATCCTTTGCCGTAAAATTCAACGGAATGGTCGTACTCGTTGTCTTCCTATTGTTCCACGGGCGTTTAAATGGTCGGTTATCAATAATGTACATGAATCTATAATGCATTTAGGGTGGAAGAAAACATTAGAAAAGGTGTATGATCATTATTGGTTTCAAGGAATGGCAAAGTACGTACGCAAATTTGTCGACAATTGTATCACATGCAAAATCTCTAAACCAAGTTCCGGGCGGGTTCAAGCAGAATTACATCCAATCCCTAAGATCCCTGTACCTTGGCACACTGTTCATTTAGATGTTTCTGGCAAGCTAAGTTTTAAAAACAATGTTAAAGAGTATGTATTTGTCCTTATTGATGCATTTACTAAATTTGTAATGTTGCATCACTCAACCAGTATTGATAGCAATAGTAGCATAAGAGCTTTAAAATCGGGGGAGGCGCTGTTTGGTGCCCCTAATAGGTTGATTACTGATCAAGGTCGTTGCTTTGCTAGCAAGGAGTTTTCAAGCTTTTGCGCCAGACATAATATCCAATTACATCTTATTGCCACCGGTGGGAGTCGGGCTAATGGACAAGTAGAAAGGGTTATGAGCCCTCTTAAAAGTATGTTGACAGCTGTGGAAGTTAGTAAAGATCATTCTTGGCAAGATGCTCTTTGGTGATATTCAACTTGCCCTGAATGTAACGGTCAATCGGGTGACCAAAGCAAGTCCTTTAGAATTAATGTTGGGAAAGGTCGCCAGACCATTAAACTTAATGACAGTAGATGTTGATGATCCAGTAATGAATATTAATGAAGTGAGAGAACAGGCGACACAGAGTATGAACAAAAATGCTAACTGTGACAAGGAAAGATTCGATAGTACCAACTGTGTTGTAGAACATGTGGACGTGATAACTAAAAAAATTACACAATACTGCCGAAGGACTGGCAGGGCAGCTGAAGGACTAGCTGCGGCAAAGTGACCGAAGGACTGGTTCACTTTGCGCACATGTAGACCGAAGTACTGGTTCGAGCTTCAGTGAGGAGTGTGGTGTTGTCAAAAAGATTGAGCTTGGATTAAGGTTGGAATGATTTACACGGAAACTTGTTGATCTATGGTAGTTTTTAAGTTAGTAATAAATTGTGAATAAGAATTTGAAGCAAAATTCTTACCTGTACAGATAGTGTTTTCGACTCTAGTGTGTCATAGCAGCCTAACTTAATCATTATTCGGAATACTCATTTACTTCGGATGATCACACAAGTGAGTACCCGAGGACGGGTAACTGTCAAGATTGCTGTGTCGGAATCCATTAAACAGTTGTTGTTGTTCTAATTGAATGTTACTTCAGTTTGTGGTAATAAAGTTATATTGCCCCTTATCGATTCTTAAATTTTATCGATGCAAAGAATGTCATCGGAAACGCAAACGTACGTCTGGTTGGCGTTGACGTTTGAATGTGGCCTTTGAAGGTAGCCGAGTTGGTTGTCTGGTTACCGAAACTTTTAGAAAAAGAAGAGAATTGAAGAAGGGTGATCAGACGGAAAGGTTGTCCGAGAAAATCTAAATAGAAATCCTTGCAAAGGACTCATTAGTTTACTTTGAGCATTCTTTCGTTTCGTTTAAGTGTTTGAGTTAATTGTTAGTTAAAGTTTATTTAGTTCGAAGTTTAGAAAAATGCATATGATAACACGGCAAAGGCTTGGTCGCCCGAGAGGGCCAAATGCTAACCGCCATTGGAAAGTGGTTCATGATTCCGCTTCTCCGACAAATATAATATAACCCGAGCGGTAAGGTTATATTATTGTGGGAACGTTTAACTAATAATAATCGCTTTATATAATGATGGGTTAAAGAAGTTGGGTACTCTGATTTAATAATCAAACTAGATATATTCTTAAAACAACAAATAAAATACAAGTGTTCTGTGTATGTTATGTCGCGTCCAAAGTATAATTATAAATACTGAAAATGTTGTTGCTCGGTGTTGACGCTCTGGCGATGCGGGGGTAAGTCGGTTGAAACTAAAGGCCGTAATAGAATTTATGCCGGTTCACGGATTCTATATGGTTTAATATTGATACGAAAGGGCACTGTAGCCCGATCTCACTAGATATAACTGACTATCAAAACCGTAGACGCGTAACGAGAGACGTGACGTTGACTCTAAACGTGACGGTACGATTATGATCCCCGGAGTAATGAAATCGCGGGTTTTATATACCCAAAAATCTGTGGGGGCGGATTGAAAAGTACGTTAGAAGTTACCGCATTCGGTATTCTCCGAATTGCGTTAATTACCGGACTACTGTATTCTCGGAATTGCTCTCGACGGAAGTGACCCCCATTCCAAAGGTTAGATACGTAGCAGGGCGATTTCCCAATGCACGCAAGTGGCAAGAAAAATTTGAGGAACGAAACGTTCGGCATACGTAACAAATATTATTATACAAAAAGTTATTAATTTATTTTCTTTAAAATATATTATAGGTATAAAATTATTATTATAAAATATTAATCATAAAATTATTCGAATTCTATATCTAATTGTTAATGTTATTGATAAAATATAAATTAAATAAAATATATAATTTAATTTTTTATTTATTAATATTTCAATAATTAAATCTTTTGAATAAAATCCACTTAAAAAAGGAAATCCTATTAATATAATTAAACTAAAAATAATAATTAATCTTTTTATAGGTATAATTATTAATATATTACCATATTTACGAATATCTTGATTATTATTTATTAAATGAATAAAATCTCCTGCACATAAAAATATTAAAGATTTAAATAAAGCATGAATAATTATATGAAAAAAAGCTAATTCATAATAATTAACTCTTAAAGTTAATATTATTAATCCTAATTGTCTTAATGTTGATAAAGCAATAATTTTTTTAAGATCATATTCAAAATTAGCTATTAATCTTGCTATAAAAGTTGTTATTAAAGAAATATATAATATTATTATATTAATATTTATATTTAATATAAATATTGTTTAAAGATTGCATAATGCCGAGCGATTATCCTCGGCCGCAATTACCGTTAATCCTGTTAGCGTACAATAACCAAGAGATTATCTCTAATTGAATTTGTACAGCGAGCAGTGATAGAAAAACGCGTGTATTATTGGTTTTTCTGGCATCGGTAACGGCTCATTACCTTCGATTCGAGTGTGCTAACGGTGTTGGTGACGTCAGTACCGTGAGAGAGTAGCGCGTCGATAATCTGACAAAGATAGACAGCCGAAATTTAGACAGCGCCACGGAACGACTAATTAGCGTACCACGGCGACGTCTTCGGCTGTCAATCGTCACAGTCTGAAACCGACTTCTGCCCTGAACACATCGGCTCCCGATCGTGTCCGTCCAGAACTCGAATACAATTCGAAAGGAAAATATTCTTTCGAATTACGAATATAGACTATCTTTGTAAAAGAGTGTATCGAGCAGTCGTTCAGTTTGGCGTGGGTTAATCGATAGCCCACGCACAGCTGCGAATTAATAAGACTCGGAAAAGTGTGGAATTTATTCCCATTTTTTTACTTATTACGTGAACCGTATTCCGGTTCACACAAGTGCACTCATAACCTGAGTTAGATTCAAATTCTGCAATTCTGGGGGCTCTAGAATACACCTTCGAGGTGCTCGACCATCCCGGTGCAGAATTGAACGGTCGTTTCTAACGTATAAACGCTAGAAACACAAAGAAGTCGACGGATACCGTCTACACTTCTTTGTGATTGCCATTCGGCTGAGGAGACACCGAAGGGAGGCACCTACGTGGTGTACCTCCAGGTGGGCTCACTGTAGTCAGGTCGACGTCCACTTCGGACGTCTGACTTTCGGTCTTCGCCTCCTTACTTCTACAGATCCCGCCGGTGTAACGCTTAGAGGAGCACCTGTGCGGAGAGGTAACGGAGTCGTGGGTCAGGCCCCCCACGTAGTTCAAATACTGCTGCGAATCACATCGAGTAGTGCATTCGTGCAGTGAACAACGTGCTGTCGGGCTTCGCAGTGTAACTCTCGGCCAATAAGTCATCTGTTGGAACGTGTAAAGAGAAGCCGCAGATTGACGGTCGTGCCGTTGCATTGCAGTGCGACTCGACGCACAGACTCAGTGGGCATACTCACGGGATCAGTGCATTTGGAGCCTTACAACCTCCACTTGCGCCCCCGTCCACTAGGCAATCGACAAAAAATCGGTAAAGAAAAGAAGTTTGATTTCTTTTCTACGCCGGAAAATTTACAGTCCACTTTCGAGTTCGTATAATACGAACAATCGAAATTTCTCTGCTCCCGTTCGTTCGAATATCGACGCCGGGAGCGCGAGAACACAGACGCGGCGTATACGTATTACGTGTTTACGTGTGGCTAACACATAGCCGTGTTTTTCTGATTACAGGAATCCTGGCCTACCTCAAGCCGGCGAGAGGAACGACCTAGCCTCGCGGAACGGCCAGAACGAGGCCGAAATATTATTTCATTTAATCTGTTTCTTTATTTTGATTTTCTGTTTTTTTGTTATCTTTATTTTTGTAATAAAAGGTCGGTCTAAAAGGCCGGCGAAAAGAAAACCATTTTTTGTCCGATTCACTTCCCCGATAAAACTCACCTCGATCCGGACTCATTCGTTAAAAGTGTATCAACGCTTTTTAACATAAGGTCCTTCGAGCCGGATATTGAGGTAATCGGAGAAAGGGAAGTGTTGGACGTATAACACGTGAGTTTCTCCCGTGTACGGTTGTTTAGAAGCGCTTAACCTTCAACAACCATGTCCGTTACAAAAGATCCCAATTGGTCTGACCTTGAGGCACACCTCGAGGACTTGGCCAGGGGGATGGAACGGATAAATAGGTCGTCCATCAACCTTAAAAAGATGGGTCGAGCCAAATTCACACAGAAAATTCTGGAGGAAAGGCTCGACTACGTAAAAACTCTGTGGCAACAAATGAACGATCAATATAAAATCGTGTGTAGGCTTCTCCCCCCTGGAGAACGACACTCTTACGAGTTGTTCCAACGGGATTTTATGGGAGAAACCGAAAACGAATTTTTGGACTTCCAGGCCTAATTGGCCACGGAAGTAACCCGTCTCACCGCTGGTCCTAAATCAGGGATGGCGGAAATACAGCAGACGATACCGATCGAACTCCCGAAGATGAGGTTGGAAAAATTCGACGGAGATCCTACGAAATGGGAACATTTCGAGGACCTATTTACCGCCGGAGTAATAAACAACCCCACGTTAACGGATGTGCAAAGGTTACAATACCTAAACACCTGTATAACCGGGAGAGCCGCAGCCGCTATCGCATCTCTTGCGATAACGGATTCAAATTTCTCAGTAGCGTGGTCGACCCTGAAAGCAGAATTCGGGCTCCCACGCTTGGTACTGATCAAGCTACTTGATCGGATTCTGAGATTGACAAAAATCCGAAAAGGCGACCTGTCAAGTGTTCAGCAGGTCACCATCGGTTTTCGGCAAGCACTCGCTATCCTTGCAAAAAAAGGAACAGTGGAAGAGCAGCTTAGTTGGTTGTTAACACACATAGTAGCAAGCCAATTTGATGCCGCGCTGCAAGGGGAATGGGAGCGATCCCTCAAGATGTCAACGGAATATCCGTCGCTTGAGGAGATCATGAGATTTCTCGACCAGGAGGCACGTGCTATGACCGTCATTGACGAACATAACCGAAAACCTGGGTTAAAACGGGAAAACAAGCCACCAGTACGGAGTCATAACGCCGTCGTGGAGTCCTCCCCTGCGCAGCGAAAGTGCACGATTTGCGGACAAACGCATGCACTCTCGGAATGCGGCACATTTAAGCGCTTCTCCACACGAGTACGTTACCAGATCGTAAAGGACAGTCAGGGATGTATAGCCTGCCTGGCCCTGGATCATGACGTAAGAGGCTGCCGGAGCCAACAAGGTTGTTCGAGATGCGGTGGCAGGCATCACGCGCTGTTGCATTTCGAACAATACGAAAAGGAGGCTGGAAGCCAGACGCCGAAATCGAAATTTTCGAACGGCAAGCGCGAGGAACGGCGAGATAACGCCCCTCCACAGCGCCGTACGGCTAAGGCGAAAGCCAGCACCGATACCTCGAACGCGCAAGCAGCTACGTCACGGGCCACTACGTCACACTGTACGGCGAGTACAGACGTACCGAGGCCGGTGCTATTAGCAACCGCGATCGTACGAGTGTACGGAGAAAACGGCGCGTCGCGTTTAACGCGCGCGCTGTTAGATCAAGGGTCCGAAACATCCTTCATCTCGGCGAAATTGAGGAATGACCTCAACCTCCCGAGGAAGAAAACCTCAGCCACGGTATCGGGCTTGGGGGGTGGTCGGACCCAAAAAATCAAGTACAGCGTAGGGCTGAATTTGGGAACGGCTTCCGGGGTAACCCCTGTGGTTTCGGCAAGAGCGTACGTCGTGACAAAAATCACGAATTATGCCTCGCCATCAGTAAACGCGCTCGATAACGACGTGTTGCGAAACCTGAAGCTCGCCGATCCCGAGCCCGCGTCTTGCCAAAACATTGAAGTTTTGATCGGCGCAGATTTGTACGCTCAAGTTATTCGGTCGGGATTCCGTCGAATATCTCCCGAAGGGCCTATTGCACAAGAAACTGCATTTGGCTGGATATTATCCGGACCGATAGATGCAGCGAGCAAGGCCCAGGGTCCCGTGCGAGCGTTGCATTGCAACATATTCGAATCGCTGGATCACGCGATTCGACGGTTCTGGGAAATTGAAGAAATTCCCTCGACCTCGGTGCTTACAAAAGCAGAGGAAGAGTGCGAAGCTCATTTCCAAAAAACTATCGCACGGGTTGCAACAGGACGGTTTATCGTCCGATTGCAATTTAATCATCCGAAACCGGAAGGAGCGCTGGGAGATTCACTCCGTATCGCTCTTACCGCGTTAACAAGGTTGAGAAAGAAATTGGACAAGGATCAGATCCTCGTACGAGAATATCAAGAATTTTTCGCGGAGTATGATTCGTTGGAGCATATGACTCGTATCGAGCTCTCTGTAAACTCCAGACTTTACATTCCGCATCGAGCGGTCATCCGTACGGAGAGTGCAACCACCAAACTACGAGTCGTGTTTAATGCGACCAGCCGTATAGTGGGTGGACAATCCATAAACGACATCCTGCACGTAGGACCGAAACTACAGAACGACGTCACGTCCGTTTTGACGAGATGGAGGCTGTACGAATACGTTTTGGTGGCCGATATCGAGAAAATGTTTCGTCAAATTCTCGTTGCCCCTCAGGATCGTCGGTTTCAGTGCATCTTATGGCGCACACCCGAAACCGAAGAGCTGAAAGCATTCGAGTTGAATACCGTTACCTACGGAACGGCGTGCGCACCATATTTATCGATGCGGACTTTTCTCGAGTTGAAAAAACGGGACGGTGACAGATTCCCTCTCGCCGCCTCGATACTTGAGAAGGACATATACGTTGATGACGTATTCATGGGGGCACTCGACACGTCCTTGCTGGAGAAAATTCGTATACAAGTTTACGAACTCCTACAGGGCGGTGGGTTTAAATTGAGAAAGTGGGCTGGCAATTCGCAGAAATTGCTGCGAAACATCCCGCAAAGTTGTCACCCCCACGCTGTCGATCTCACCTTGTTCGATGACTCCGAACTCAAGGTGCTCGGATTACGATGGATACCATCGGGTGATTATTTCTATTTCAACCTGCAACGGTTCCAACCGGCTGCAGGCCCGATTACAAAACGAACTTTGTTTTCCGAAACAGCCAAATTATACGATCCGCTCGGCTGGTTATCACCAGTCGTAATTCGTGCGAAGATGCTGATGCAATCCCAATGACTGGAAAAAAACCAGTGGGACGATCATGTCTCCGCGAATACGTTAAAAACGTGGAACACGTTTTGCGAGGATTGGGGTAATTTGGAAAAAGTAAAATTTCCCAGATGGATCCGTTACGGAGCAGATACAGTTTCGGTGGAATTACACGGATTCTGCGATGCTTCGCTCGGAGCATACTCGGCCGTCACGTATTTACGCGTGACGACCATGACCGAGGAAGTTTTCACAACCTTGATCATGGCAAAAACAAGGGTGGCTCCCATAAAAACGCAGTTGATTCCGATTCTCGAATTGAATGGAGCCGTACTGCTCACCGAGCTGACAGTGCATGTAGAACGGCCACTTTCGATAAAAATTGACCGTATAGTCTGTTGGTCAGATTCTACAATTGCACTCGCTTGGTTGAAAAAAGATGCTTCAACTTGGAAGGTAGTGATAGCCAACCGAGTTTCGAAAATTCAAACCTTGCTTCCGAAGGCTGAATGGAGACACGTTCCGACCCGCTTCAATCCCGAGGATATGAATTCGCGCGGAGTCGAAGCAGCGGAACTCATTCAGTCGAAGTTGTGGATTTCCGGACCAGCATGGTTAAGACAACCAGAGAAAAATTGGCATAAAACGCCTGATTCCATCGATACGAGCGAGAGCAAGCGCATTCCGCACGCCCACGTTGCAACTTCAGAGAAAGAATGGGAATTCGTGTTCTGATTCTCAACCTGGAGTAAGCTACTTCGCGTAACTGCATACTGTCTCCGATTACGAAGACCGATGCAAGGTGAGCGAAGGTCGTTCGATGCAAGAGTTGTCGAAGCATCAGAATTGCAGTTTGCAAAAGAGAAAATCGTCCGCTACATCCAGCGAACGCATTTTGCGGGCGAGTACCAGTGTTTAAAAGAACACAGGGAAATTCCCGCAAAATCTCCCTTAAAAAATCTGAACCCTTTCCTAGACACAAACGAGGTCTTGAGAGTAGGTGGACGATTGGAGAATGCGACACTGGCATGGGAAACGAAGCACTCCATAATTCTGCCAAAACATCATGTGTCTACCATGATAATCCGGCAGTACCACGTAAATTCGTTGCACGGGGCCTTGCAGCTGACGATATCCCTGGTGAAGCAGCAATTATGGATCCTCGGTTGCCGAACCACGGCTCGAAAGGTCATTCATCAATGCATGAAATGCGTGAGATGGAGGGCACAAACCTCCACGCAGATCATGCAGGATTTGACCTTGGAACGCAGTCGTCCAGCACGGGCTTTTTAAAACTGCGGAGTTGATTATGCGGGACCGTACAAAGTCCGCGACTCCGCGGGCCGAGGAAAAACAGCTCATAAAGCGTACATAGCGGTTTTTGTCTGTTTCGCTACAAGGGCTGTACACATTGAACTCGTCCACGATTACACGACGAGTGCATTTTTGGCTGCATTAGATCGATTCATTGCCCGACGAGGAATCCCGTCCTGCATACGCAGTGACAACGGGACAAATTTCGTCGGTGCAGATCGTGAATTAAGAAAACATTTCAATATGGTGTGTAAAACGCCTGAAATGCAAAACGAATGTGGCCAGAAGGGCATTCGGTGGAAATTTAATCCACCCAGTGCCCCCCATTTTGGTGGGATGCAGGAAGCAGGGGTCAAATCAGTGAAGCATCATTTGAAGCGCATCATAGCAGAATTCACTCCCACGAGCGAAGAATTACAGACGTTACTCTGTAAAATCGAAACTAGTTTAAACTCGCGACCGATTGCCGCTCTGAGTGACAGCCCTGAAGATTACGCGCCTCTCACACCGGCCCACTTTCTAATCGGTGGACCTGCGATGGCACCCCCGATGGAATCCGTGGAAAATGCAAACATTTCGCATCTTACAAGATGGAGAGCCATGCAAAAATTACACGAGCAGCTCTGGAGACATTGGACGAGAGATTATCTCTCACACCTCCAGAACCGCTATAAATGGCAGACGGCAAATACACACCTAAAAAAGAATGATCTTGTATTGGTGCAGAATCCTCTCCTCCCCCCAAATCAGTGGGAAATGGGAAGAATAGAGAAAGTATTTCCGGAAAAGGATGAGCATGTACGTGTAGTTAAAATACGCACAGCCAAACCCAAATATACACGACCAATTACGCGGGTGTGTAAGCTGCCTGTGGCTGAGTTTTCGTTTGAGTCACCTTCGGCAACGGTCACCAAAGTCGAGCAGGTGAGCTAAACAAAACCGTTCGAGTTCGAAAAGACAAGGATTTTGGAAGGCGAAAACGGTTGATTCTCAACGGCCACTTGTCGCCTGTGCGACAGCGAAGAGTAGGGGGTAATTTCCACCAATCTCGTTATCGCTTAGGCACGGGGACACTTAGTCTATGCTAGCGCCCGTAAATCTAAATTCGAACGACTCTTCGCCGGAAAAGATCAGTTACTGATTAGCCATGGAAAGAGAAAGTGAGCCAAGTACGCCAGAATCTGCGATCTCAAGCCCGGGGTTCGATCCCGCGTTCGAACGCATCCTCCAGCTGGGAGGGCTGGTCGAGGCCCCCCCAGCCGAAGCAGGAAGCCGAGGTACCCCAGCCGGTACCCTCGACCAGCAGGGAACTAACCACGAAGGGGCCATTGGTCTTTCCAGTGGGCGGCCCGGGCATAATGGTGCCGGCCCACATCCCAACGACCACCCGTCGATACAAATGCCCTTTACCCGGGGGACGCTTCGTCCTCCGCTGGACCAAAGAAGGAATACTAAAGTCTTGCCTGCTAAGGATGGACAACGCGTCGAAGACGCCGATTGCATCGACGTCAAGCGCGAAACTAGTCGCGACCGAGCAACCGACACCGACGGCGGAGACGGCGCGTAAAACGCGCAATCGGCGTCGAAAAGCCAACGCCGCTAGAAAAAAGCTAAGGGAGGACGCCACAAAAAAAGCCAGAATCTAGGAGGGAACGGCGGCGGAAAAGGCCGGGTAACCCGAACAGGGCATCGCAGAGCGTCCCTGGGCGTCAGGCGACGCGGGCGGCCCCCTCGGCGTGGCGCATGACCCAGGCTGGGAGGGGGGTCCTGATAGGAGCCCCCTCCCGCCAGGCGGCGTAGGGTCGGACCGGATGGGGTGGCAGTGCCTCCTGTCCGGGTCCGGCGCACGGAGCGGCACCCTCGGTGGCCTGGTGCGGCCATGAGCTGCCGGCCTCCGAGGGGTAGAAACGGGGTCGCGGCGGTTGCGAGTTGGGGCTCGCAGCCGCCACTAGACGCGGCCCCGGGACGGATGGCTGCAGGACGAAGTGGCCTCCTGGATCTCCTTGCACCTGTCGCACGCGATGATGTATCGTCACCGCGTCGACCGTCGCGCGGGGGTGGGGGCGGTCCCGGGTGTGCAGGAACCTGCTTGGGGCGAGTTGAAGCGCCAGGCCCGGCAGTCCGTGGTGCACGCGTGGCAAGAGCGGTTGGCTCTGCCTACCGCGGGGCACCGGACAGTCGGGGCTGTTCGGCCACTCCTATGTGAGTGGCTGGACAGAGGCCATGGAAGCCTCACTTACAGGATGGCACAGGTGTTCTCGGGGCATGGCAGCTTCGGGAGATACCTGTGCCGGATAGGGAAGGAGCCGACGGCGCGTTGCTGCCATTGTGACGCTGAGCAGGACACGGCGGAACATACCCTCGAGGTATGCGCTGCATGGGAGGGTGAACGCCGTGTCCTGATCGGCGTCATCGGGCGGGATGTCTCGCTGCCGGGCATGGTGCGCGCCATGCTCGGCAGCGAGGAGAAGTGGAGGGCCGTGGCCTCCTTCTGCGAAATCGTAATGTTGCAGAAGGAGACCGCGGGAAGGGAGCGCGAGCGTCAGCGGCGCGCTGAGGCTCGCGCTCGTTTGGTGGCGAGAGAGCGTCGCCTGGGCGTCAGGCGACGCGGGCGGCCCCCTCGGCGTGGCGCATGACCCAGGCTGGGAGGGGGGGTCCTGATAGGAGCCCCCTCCCGCCAGGCGGCGTAGGGTCGGACCGGATGGGGTGGCAGTGCCTCCTGTCCGGGTCCGGCGCACGGAGCGGCACCCTCGGTGGCCTGGTGCGGCCATGAGCTGCCGGCCTCCGAGGGGTAGAAACGGGGTCGCGGCGGTTGCGAGTTGGGGCTCGCAGCCGCCACTAGACGCGGCCCCGGGACGGATGGCGGCAGGACGATGTGGCCTCGTCCTGCCGCTATGAGACAGGGCGATTACCGGGGGGGACCGTTTGTCCCCCCGCGGGTGGGCGCAAAGCGCGGGCACGGGGAGGATACCGGAAGTATGCTTCGAGCGATTCCCGGTATCCTCCCAAATCGTGCGGAAGGGTCACCGTGGGGTTTTTAGTGGGTAGGTCCCGCGCCCGTTATAATGGGCGCGGGGAATCCCACACACCCCTCCCGCCTCTCCCCAAAGAGGTGGGAGGGAGTCTTTCGAAGATTTTCCCCACGACACAAGTCTCCTTTGTTCAGGGCAAAAGTCTCGTCGATAGTTTAACTAAAAAACTATCCGCGAGCAACGTAATGCAGTCCACTAAATTACGCTAAACGACAGCTGATCTCCCCCTCCGAGCGCACCGATAGTCGCTAGGAGAGCGAGTCGAACAGCTGACGAGCGTGTTGACATTACGTGCACGCACGTATTTAATTTGGTCGATCATTTGTTTCAGTAATCAAGGACCGACCCAGCCAGGGCAACACCGGTGAGGCCTTCCACCCCCCTGGCCGTTGCAAAAAATATATTTTTATAGTTTATTTGATTTTTAGTTTTTTCCCCATATTTTTTTGTAGAAATAAACGATTTATCGCGAAGCGACAAACCGAAAGAAAAATCAAATCTGAGCAACTTCTCTTTCCGTGTCAACTCCCTCGTCCGGACCCCGGTTAGAACCCTTAGATTCTAACAAAATTTAATATTTTATATAAATAAATCTAAATTTAAAAATATAAAATTTAAAGGCAATCAATGTATAATAATTACAAAAAACTCTAAAAATTTAGGATTTTTAATTTTTAAATAAAAATTTATTATTCCATGATTAATATAACTAAATAAATATAATGAATAAATAAATCTTAAAAATCTAATTAACATTAATAACAATAAAAGATAATTACACCAATTATATAAAACTATTAAAATAAAAATTTCACTAATTAAATTTAATGATAATGGTGCAGATATATTAGAAGAACATAATAAAAATCATAATAATGATATTTTTGGAATAATTCTTATTATTCCTTTATTAATAATTATTAATCGTCTATTAGTTTCTTTATAACATATATTTACTATATAAAATAATCCAGATTGTGAGCAATTGGGTGTGTTCACACGACGATGCACGGACATTTTAAGAACGCGTCCTTCCGGCGCCTACTTGTACCCGTATAGGCATTAGCCTCATCTGTTCTTGTTACTGTTGGTAACAACTTTTTATTCAACCGTTTGTGTTACATGTTGCATCCCCGACGAGCTGTTCTGTATTTATGGCGTATATTATATCGAGCTTTTAATAAATATTCTCTTTACTGCGTTTAATAACCAACACAGATGAACATAAACCATGAGCAATTATTATTAAATAACATCCATATAAACTTAAATGTTTTAATGTTATTAATCTAGAAATTAAAATTCTTATATGAACTACTGAAGAATATGCAATTAAAATTTTTATATCAATTTGTCGTAAACATAAAATTCTTAAGATAATACCTCCAATTAAACTAATAATTATTACATAAATTTTAATTAATATTATATTATTATAAAAAATTAAAATAAAACGTAATAATCCATAAGTTCCTAATTTTAATATAATTGAAGCTAAGATTATTGAACAAAATACAGGAGCTTCAACATGAGCTTTTAATAATCAAATATGTTAGGTGGAGTAGGTTTGAAAAAACCTCGCCTAACGGTGGTCCGGATCGTGAGGGAAGGAACGTCGGGAAAAGAATACAGATTTTCAATTTAATTTTCGCTTAGTCGAATGACTCGACTAAGCCGTTTATTTGTATTAAATTGTGGAAACAAAATATGTATTAAGAATTGTCTGCCCGGCCAGACGCCGCTGCAGTTAATCCTGTTTGGTAAACCTGTAACAGAAAGAGACACGAATAGGCGTTAAATACCTGTGAACGTGAGTCACGCTGTGTGTCTTACTTTCTTCCGCGCTCGTCTGGTCTGTGCTTGTCGCACCCAGGAGCGGGGATCTCAGCCGCCGCGATGCGCAGCTAAGCTAGTGGACTGTATGTGTGAGCGTTCCCGTTAAATCGG